ATATATAGCAAGAGTTTAATTGAACATATTGAGCATGTGCGAATGGTACTAGAGGTGTTGAGAAAAGAAAAGTTGTTTGCTAACCTTACAAAGTGTTTCTTTTGAACAAATCAAATTGTTTTTTTAGGGTATGTTGTTTCAGCTGATGGAATTGCAGTAGATGAAGAAAAGGTTAAGGCTATTAAAGAATGGCTGACACCTAAAAATATTTATGAGGTGCGGAGTTTTTATGGTTTGGCAAATTTCTACCAGAGATTCATCACGGATTTCAGCACAATTGCAGCACGTTTACTGAAATTGTGAAAAAAGGTGTTGGATTTAAGTGGGAAAGCGAACAGGAGAATGCTTTCAATTTAATTAAGAAAATTTTAATTTCTGCACCGTTACTTGCTTTACTTGATTTTACTAAAACTTTTGAAATTGAATGTGATGCATCAGGTATTGGTATTGGTGCTGTTTTGATGCAAGAGCGACGACCTATTGCGTTTTTCAATGAAAAATTGACTGGTGCAGCAATTAACTATCCTACTTATGACAAGGAGATGTATGCATTGGTAAGTGCTTTAGAGACATGGCAGCATTATCTTTGGCATAAGGAGTTCATGATACATACTGATCATGAGTCGTTGAAGCACGTGAAGGGACAAGGTAAGTTGAATAGATGACATCCTAAGTGGGTGGAATTCCTTGAGATGTTTCCCTATGTGATCAAGTATAAGCAAGGAAAGGAAAACATTGTGGCTGATGCATTATCTCGTAGGTACACACTTATCTCTACCCTAAGTGCAAAGTTATTAGGTTTTGAGCACATTAAAGAATTATATGCTAATGATCCAGATTTTGCTAGCATGTTTAATACATGTGAGAAGATTGCTTTTGATAAGTTTTATAGGCATGAGGGGTACTTGTTTCAGAACTTTTGAGAGACTTTTCTCTTTGGTTTGTTTCAGAGCTTTACAGAACTTATCAAGATTATTCTTGTGGTGTTCTAACCTGACTTATCATTCTCTTTGGTTCTCATCACTTGTGCTGTGGGTCTCATTGTTCTCTTTGGGTTTCTCATCAATTGTTCTCTTTGGGGTTCCCATCATCTTGGTATCAGAGCATCTGATGAGAACCCCAAAGAGAACAATGAGACCCACAGCACGACAAGGGATTTCTAAACTCCAGGAAAGCTAAATCAGATTTATAATTGGACCCTGACAATAAGGAGGTTATCTCGTGGCTGCACAACAATAAGACAGAATTGGAAGCTGATTTGGATGATGCAAGGGAAAGGATCAAAGCTCTTAGGAATGTTTTTGAAGCATTATGAAGAAAAAGGAGAGCAACAGATTGAGGCATTGGAGAAGAAAGTTAATGATTTGCAGATGTTGGCAACAATGACAATGGTGTATGCTGCGAAGCTAGAGAAATGGAAGAAATGTGGTCAAATATCTTTGGTCGTGGCTGTTTTCCTTACTATTCTACTTGCTTTTTTCTTGTTTAGGAGTTGGGTTCTACTTGTTGATGGCAACAGGGGTTTCAAAAGGCTTGGAAATTAAGAAACTAGGCAAATGGGGATAGTTTTGTTTTTTGGGCATTATCTGTTTTTTGGTGGGCAATGTGGTTGTCTTGAATGGTAGTGTTGAAGGTTTGTAGATACCGCCCCCAATAATTCTAATATGGGGCCTCATTTCTCCCCAAGCTTTGTAATTTATTTTGGATATAATGAATATAAATTAACTTCTCCAGAATTGTTACCTCATTTTTTTAATATTGATCGAATGGAAATAGCTATTTGTGCTATTAATATTAACAATATTAACAACCATAAAAGGTAAAATATCACTTATCATTAATTGATATAATGAATATAAATTAACTTCTCCAGAATTGTTACCTCATTTTTTTAATATTGATCAAATGGAAATAGCTATTTGTGCTATTAATATTAACAATATGAACAACCATAAAAGGTACATAAATAAGGAAATATCACTTACCATTAATTGATAATATAAGCCAAAAGGGTTACATTTACACAAATATCTTGTTAGGATTGCACAAAAGCTGACAAGAGACAAAGATATCCACCATTTTCCCAGAATTTCATCCCATGCTCCAAAAATCCAAAATAAAAAAATGCTACATATTCTTGCCAAATACAGATCCTACCAAAGTAGATACAAGAGCATGTGAGTCACTTTGTTTCCATGCATTTACTGCATTTACATATTGCCTACAGAAAACACCTTCTACAACCTTAAACCAAAGTTCTTTACTCCCATGCATAAATTAAATTCTAGTATTAAAAAATAAATGATCAACACAATTCACACTCTTAGTTGAATGTTAAGCTAACTCACAGGGTTCAATTCTGGTGAATTAATGTATTCACCAAATCTGTGCTTCTTCTTTCTTCCTAGTCCATCAAATTGACCAGACTGCATGATAAAAAAACAGCAAAAAGAATAGACACATATAATTAGCAATATAACACTATTAATAGGAAATTATAAATCCTAAGCAATTACCACTCAATAAACTTACATTTTCATCAACAAAATATTTAGTAGTGTATGTTGTCCTGGTGTGACCAGGCTGTTTACACTATCCACAAGTTGGAGGTTTTCTTGGTATTGGCTAGTGAGTGCTTGCTGATGCTCCCTATTGAGTATGAAAAAAAAAATGTCATTATATTATCATTTGTTAATAACAAAGCAGGTGTAAGTAATTAACTTACTTCACTTTCAGTTGCCCTTTTGGGGCATCCCCTCTTGTTGTGTCCAGGTTGCTTGCAAAGTGAGCACGTGATTTGTCCACCTTCCTTTGTCATCTTTTCTAGCTGTCCCACCTTCACCTTTCTGGTTTCATTATCACCCTTCCTCCTATTCACCTTCGGCCTACCCTGCTTGCATCTAAATGGTAGTGGTTTTAGTGGCTCCCCATGATAATTTTCCCAGAATTTCTCACCATTACAAGGCATGATTGGTACATTGTATGCACATTCATACTTAACCCTTTTGTACCAAATTGATACAAATTCATCCGGGTCGAAGTTACCTAAACCTATCGCAGACGATGCATGAGGACATGGAATTCCTGTTAAATCCCATGCTCTACAACTACACTTTTTCCCAATCAAATCCACAACAAATTTGTCATTCCAATGCCAACCATCATATTGGGTCCTGCCATTCCATTCACATCTGCATTTGGCAGCTTCAATCTTATGTGCTTCTTCTAATTTCTTCCTAATTCTGGGTGCTATATCTCCTCTCCATTTGCTGATTTCTTCTCTGTTCTTAGCCATCCTAACCATCACCTTAACCCTTATATATTCTAACAGTTGGATGATTGGCATATACCTGGCATCCATTATCCAATTGTTGAAGGTCTCATTCATGTTGTTATCCACCACATCACATTTACATGATGTGTCAAAGAATGCCTTGCATCTCAGCTCTGGTGGGATTGATTTAAGGCATCATGACCTTCAATGGATAAATTTCTGATCTCCTCCATGTTTTTGTTGAATAGACCTTCATATGTTGACCTTGTAGCAATCCAGAATCTTTTCTTCAATAGTTTCCCTCTGAAAATTTTTTGCCAATTGGCATATAAATGCCTGGTACACAATCTATGCCTAGCCTTGGGGAAAACTGTTTGTCTTGCATTAATCAACCCCTACCAAATTGTGTTTAATGAAAACAAATACAGCTAATTATTGATAATAAAGTCAATTGAATTATACAATAAATAGCATTGATGAGTATAGTAACATAAAGATATTGATAATATAAATTAATTCATAATAGATTGTGCACACTTACAAGATGTTGGTCCGAAATGAACGTTAAATCTCGCCTAGTGTGATTTGATAGATCATCAGCTAGGCATCTGAAAAAAAATGTCCATGAGCTGGTAGACTTTGAGTCAACAACAGCCCAAGATATTGGGAACATTTGATTGTTCCCATCCCTTGCAACAGCTGCCAAAAGAGTTTCTTTGAACATCCCCTTGAGGAAACAAGCATCTACTCCAATTACTGGTCTACAGCCCAGTAGAAAACCCTTCCTACATCCTTCTACACACACATAGATTCCTTTAAACATAGGTTTTCCCTCTGGAGTTGTGGGTGGCTCACTGTCAATTTGAACATTTGATTGAGGGGACAATCTCAACAGCTCTTCTGCATACCCTCTTAACTGAGCAAATTCCTTCATGTGAGTTTCCTTCACCTCCTTAATAATCCTTTCCTTTGCTAGTTTACACTTATCCTTTGAAACATGAACTCCTAATTCTAAATGAGACAATCTCACTATCTCACTGATTCTGATCTGTGGATTTGCAAAAATTATGTTCCTATGGTGTTCTGCAAGTACCCTCAACCCAACCATATCGGACTTCAAACTCCTAAAGCAAGTGTGTTCCCTGCAATATGACTTAAAAGTCTTGTCATTTTTATCAAAACTGGCAAAGATACTCCAATTGCACTGTTGACCAACATAGTGAATTCTCTACCTGATGGGGTCACTTTTAACATGTTTCAACTTACAGCCTTTTTGAATTGGTTAAACCCCTATTTTGGTCCCTGAATTATTGTACGGACCCCCGATTTGGTCCCTAAACTAAAGAAATCCCTAATTTGGTCCTTGAACTATTGTACGGACCCCTGAGTTGGTCCCTAAACTATT